GGGCTGAAGCCTGGGTGCCTGTGGGTGGGCTCAGCTCAGGGGGGTGCAGGGAAAGGAGATGGGAGAGGACAGTGTCGCCTGCCAGCCAGGCTGAAACGTGGGAGCCACCAGCTTATTTTGCTTGCCAAGATTGAACTAATGGTGGTCCCCGATGTTAACGAAGGGAAATGATGGCTGGTCTTCAGCTGGAGGGTGAGGGTGCCCTGGGGGGAAGCTGGGCTGCAAGTGCAGCCGCCTGAAGGGACAAGAGCAGCTCTGGGAGGTCAGTAGAGACTTTGTCTTGGACCCGACACTAACAGCAGCCTGCCCTGGTGTGTAGGGGATGAGAGAGCAAAGCAAGGGGAGGAAATCACCTGCTCCCAGCTTCTGCCCAATAACCCCCATCGATCAGTGTCTAAAAGAAACACAATGGCTCTTCCCAGCTGGAAATGGGCAGCTGCCTCCTCTTGCATCACGAGATGCGACATAAGGGCCCATGGTGTGGGGTTTTTTTCTCCTGTAATCGAGGCTTTGTTTTGAGATGTTGGAAATGCCTCTCAAGAAAGTTCCTCGTTGTAGAGCAGTGTGACAAGGGGGTGCAGACAGCACTGAGGAGGGCAGCAGAGGCTCCGCGGCACGCCGTGGGAGGTGATGCAAAACAAGCAGCGGCACCACCGTTAAGCAATTTCCCGTCAGCAGGGCCTGTCCCCGCCGCCGGGCCGGCTGCATCGGCACAGAGCCTCATGCTCGCTGTGGTGAAATGAGGGAGGTTTGGCAGCTTTGGTCAGCCCTGAGCAGGGAGGTGACGCTCTGCTCTTGTCCCATAGACGTTGGCAAGGTGATGCCAGCTTGATCCAGCGCCATGTCCAGGTACCTGAAGCACTTCACGGTGGTGGGGGATGACCCCGTGCAGTGGAGCAACGACTATCAGAAATGGGAGGAGGAGGAGGGAGCTGGGGAGAACGGGGAGAAGCAGCCAGATTCGGAGATCAAGCTGGAGCCCACCAGGAGCCACGTCACCTTCCAGGACATGATGAAAAAGCTCTTCAGCTCCCACAGGTTTCAGGTGAGGCGGAAGGGAGATGAGGGTGAGATTTGGCCAAAAGCACCTGTGCCAGCAGGGCTGATGTGGGATGGGGAGCAGCACCGACCTCGTGAGCACTCGTGGTGCCTGTGAGAGCAGCTGCTGCCTCTGAGCTAGGCCAGCCTCTGGGAAACGAGCTGCTCCACAGCAGGCGCAGATGTTTCCTGAGCGGTGACAAGCCTCAGTGCACGGACGTCACGGCAGAGGCACGTGTTCTGCCCCAGCTTGAGCTCCCTGAGACCCCTTGCGCCAAGCAGTAGGAGACGGCTGGGTTTTGTGGGCAGCCAGGTGGTTTTGTGTGGGCGAGACTTTGCAGGAAAAACCCGCCAGCCAGGGGCTGCAGGAGTGGGCGTCCTGGGTGGGAGCAACTGAAAGCAGCCAGCCGAATCGGGGACACAGGGTGTCGGGGTATGTTTATTTGAAGGCTGCAGCAGCTCCTCTTGTTGATCTGTCAGTGCTGGGAAAGGGTTCATGTTGGTTCTTCTCCTCCAACAGATCCTGGTTGTCTGCTTGGTCATCCTGGATGCCTTATTGGTCCTCGGGGAATTGCTTATGGACTTGAAAATCATCCACCCGGACAAATATAATATAACTCCAAAGGTAAAATGCAGGGAAGTATCAATGTGAACCATGGTTTCCTTCTCTTTGATGTTGAAAACCCACTAGATAGGACAACCAGGCAGGCAGGACCTTGACCTGCAGCTTTGCCGAGCCGGCAGTCGCAGGGACATGGACGAAGGTCTTCTGGGAACTCCTGTGACAGCCCAACAGTACGTGGGGCCGATCTGGCTCAGCTCACACAGGAGAGGTTCCCAGCCTTACACTCGTGCCATATTTTCCCAGGTTTTCCACTACCTCTCCCTTTCCATTTTAACCATTTTCCTGGTTGAGGTGGGATTTAAAGTCTTTGTCTACCGCCGGGAGTTCTTCCGCCACAAGTTCGAAGTGCTGGACGGGATCGTCGTCATCGTGTCGTTCATCCTCGATGTCATCCTCATCTTCAGGGAGCACGAGTTTGAAGCCGTCGGGCTCCTGATACTCCTGCGGCTGTGGCGGGTGGCCAGGATTATCAACGGTAGGTGTGCGTGGCCGGTCGGGAGTTTGGATGTGCCAACCTTGCCTGAATTATCTGGGCTCACCTCTTTGTTCCCTTCTCAAAGCCATCTGCGAGACCCCAGGGTCTTGCTCTCCCAGCAGACTCAGAGTTTTGCCCATGCCATTTTCACTGCATTAATTAGGCTCTAATGTCTTTGGAGCAGCAACAATCTTCTGCTGCTTGTGTTGGTGCAGTGCCTTGGTGATGAGGGCACAGCAGCTGGCCTGAGCTAGCGGAGGTCCCCAGGTCTAGCACAGCAACACAGGCACACTCCCCTAAAAAAAATCCATAATCTGTTCTTGCATCACTCCCTCCTGTGTCTCACGTCTTAAATTTGCAGTGTAGAATTCTTTGGCAATGCTTTAATGAGGGAGCAGGGTAAAACCCTGCCCTTCCGGATCTATTTCTGCACTGGAGTGGCTTTTAGTGCTCTGGTGTTCTGCTGCGGCTCCATCAGCCCCTCCCCTGGGATGCTGCAGGGGATGCCCTGATCTCACTTGGGATCTGTCTTGCTTGGATTCAGAGGATTTCCCCTGAAAAGAAGAATATAAAATGTCCCAAGTCAGACTTTACTGACTCTGCTGTTGTAATTGTAAATTGTTGCAAATGGACGTAAACTCAGACACTTCTGAAACAAGTGTAGCTGGAAACATTTTCTTCTTTCTCAGGGAAAAGATTTTGAGATTCAAATAAATGTGGCAATGGCGTTATCCCTACTTCCTGCGTGAAACCTCAGACCAAATGCCATCCTGTGCCTATGAGCGTGCCTTCACCGAGTGCTCTGTACTTGATGCAACTGCAGATCCTTTAATTGGAATAAAAGGAACGGGTGGCTGAGGCCATGTCGTCACCTGGAGCTCCCTACCACCATTTCGTTGGGGAGAACATGCCCCATCAGTAGCAGCATCCGGGAAAATGCGAGAGCAGCTTGTGGCTCTTTTTAGTTCCAAGTGAAAGTTAGAGAGGAACCGTATTTGTGTGCAGCTGCGGGAGCTGCAGGAACCTCGGGGTCCCTTAACACGCTGCTTCACAGCAGAAAACCAGAATTGCATTTACAAGTAAATCCCCTTACCCTTGGCTGCTCCTGGTTTTCCCCTTGAGCTTTTTGCCATGCCTGCCCGCTTGGGGCAACAACGAAAAATCCTCCCCGAGCTTCGGGTGTTGCGTGTTTGAGCCCAGCACGGTTCGCTGCCTTCAGTCCCTGTTGACTGATAGGGACCGGGTTACGGGCAGGTGGGGACTGTTTGGTGTTAGCAATGCAAATAAGCAGCCTCGCTGCTTTGGCTTCAGAGAAATGAACCCCCAAACCCCAAGGCTGCTGCCTGTAGCTCTAGAAACATGTGTGTGTTCTGGCAGCAGCCAGAGGAGAGCTCTGTTGGGTAGGAAGAATGTGATGTTCTCGACGCTTTTACTGAGCTAATAATTTTTTTTTTTACCCACCTCTCGGAAAAGGGTGGGAAGAAGATGCCTTTACTGTGGGGGCTGAGTTCACATGTAACAACTCCGCTGTAGCGATGAGCTGCGTGCCCTTACTGCAGCCGCACGAGCTGAAGCCAGATGCTTAAGGACCCGACCATGTGTCGCATCCCAAGTGATCAGCCCTGGGGGTGCACAAGCCTCATGTCCCCCAGGCTGTGCCACACAGGGCTCCCAACTCCATGAAACTGGCTAAAACGCAGCCCCTCGCCCCAACACAGCTGCCACTTGTGTTCCCCCCAACCCCGCCCGGGGTCTGCCAAGGGAGCGAATTCAAATCCAGGGTTTGAGTGACAGTCTGCCTGATTAATTCAGCTCAGAGGCCACACTGCCTCTTCCCAGCAGAGCGTTGGTATCTGACTCTCTGGGGTGGCTAATTTAAAACCCTCCTCATTAAGAGAAGCACGTGGGAAGGGTGGTTCGAAGATGAGGGAACCAGAGCTCGAGAGGAACACATTCAACTCCTCGAGTCCTGTTTAACCTCCTGCTCACGCCTGTCAAACGCCTTCAAACGAATCCACTGCAAATTGTTTCACAGGCATCATTTTATCGGTGAAGACGCGCTCTGAACAACAAGTGGCCAAGCTAAAGCAAGCGAATGTGAAACTTGCAACGAAGGTCGAACAACTGGAACACAGCTGTGCAGAGAAGGTAAGAAACCACTTTTAATTTGAACGAGCTTTACCTGCCGGCCGCTCCCCGAGATCCTTTTGCAAGGTTGCCTCTGCCAACTCGGTTTCTTCATCAGACAGCTGTGGGGTGAGCTGGGCTGAAGAACCACAGCCTCGCCTGTCCTGCCTCGGGCTTCCTGTAGCTGCTCGCTGCAAAGGGATGACAGCTATCCCTGTCCTACTTGCTTTGGCCAGGTTGTCCTGTTTTACTGCAGTGAGACGCCTTAAAATAGCTTCCCAGGTTCCCACAAATCTTCCCGCTGCTGAAATGTTAAGGGCTATCTTAATGATTTCACCTCTGACTCCAACAGGAGCAAGAAATCGAGAGGCTTAACAAGATCTTAAAACAGCACGGGCTCATCAGCGAACACAAATAGGAGGCCAGTTTGCCGAGATGGGGAGGTTTGCCCTGGAGAGCACAGTCCTGAAATCTACCCGTTTCACTGACCTGAAAGTTTTTCCTGTCTCTTTGCTTTCTCTTGTATAGTGTTGCTATAAACACTTTCTCGTTGACCGCAATTTGATTAGATCTTGGGATTGCAAACACAGTTTTGCTGGAAAGTTAATCACGCGTAGTCCCTGTAAACAGTGATTTCATAAGACCTTTCTTGTACAGTTGTACAGTCAAAAGTGCAAAATAATTTAATAAAGACACACCTTTACAAGCTATACATTTGTGAAGGTACCACTTCTTCTACATAATTTAATTTTTACTGTGATAATATTCCTTGTTTGTGACACCCTGTAGAAACTTGCAGTACAAATGATAAAAACCCAGGCTGAAAAGGTCATTTCTTCTCTCTAAGCTGACCGTTCATCATTAGTTCATCTCTTCTTTGCCAGCCATTCTTTCTGTACTGTTGGTCGTTTCCTTGTTTCTGTTGCTGCTTGTGCCACTTGGTTATTTATATGACATTCATTTCAAAAATAATACCAACATACCACTCCTTTAGTTAACAATTGAATCAGCACCAAAACAGAGGCAAACACGTGCAGTCTTACGTCAAACAATGCCTTGTTCTCAGCAGCAGATTGGAGTTCCGATACTGCCTTCTCTCACCTCTTCTTCCATTTTAAGCGTTCACTTGCAGCCTGCTGGGTTGCCAAGTTCTTTGTTTCCACAGCTCATAAATCAATGTATTCAAAGAATGAGAATATATAAGACCAAAGATGGGTGAACAGGCTACTAGGGGAATGGTTAAGAGTCTGGAAGAGCAGCTTCTAAAGGACCAGGTCAGTGGTTTGAACACAACGTGAACTTTTTCAGGTACTAGAAGGTGCCTGTGGAGACACTATTTTATAGCTGCAGAGTAAGATTCAAGAAGTGGAAAATTTTGAAAGGTGTTGACTGGAGCAGGTGTGACCAGTTGACTGCAGCCAGAGTCAGCTGGAAGGGTCATCGAGCTCTTCTGAAAGCATCACTTAACTTTTCCGCTTTTCAAAGAAAGGTAATTAATTAGCGGTCTGGGAGAAACAGCTAGAAATACGTGGCTTATTCATCTATCAAAATAGATAAAGCAGAGGCCTTATCTAAGAGCACACGATTACTTTAATTAACAATTCAGCTCTGCTGTTCACAGAATAATGAAACCTGGTTTCCACTGGAGCCGTACTGCGTCCCAGTGCTCTTCCCTTCCCCTCCTGCCTCTGCGCTGCTGGGCAGGCTGCCCAGACTGGTGCTGCTCCAGTGTCCAACATGCTGGTGTCTGGATGCGTGGCCACCCAGAGTCACCATGGAGTTCACACTGCAACCTTTTCTCCTCTTGCCAGAGGTGTAACTGGGAATTGTCCGCTTGATGTGGTTTTATTTCTGCCCTAAAGCTTCTGAAAACCCTCACAAGGGCTCACCATTTCTCTCTTGCCCCGTTTTTAACCCAGCATGTCTACAATTGAGAAGAAGCTGCTGGTGCGTCACAGTGACTGGATAAACCTTGCTTCTTTAGGAAATGGACTAAAAATAGAAAAGGCAGAAATAGGGCTTTTTTTAGTGCATGCTTACCTTAGACAAACGGAAAGAAAAAATCAAAGGGTAACTTGGCATTAATGGTGGGCCAAGCTTTATAGCCTGGCTCTGCAGGTGAAGAAATATCAGTGAAGACAACAGAACTTGTTACAGGAATAGTCCTTTCCCTTCCGGAGGGAAGCTGCAATGAAAATACAAATGGTCATAAGTTTCAGACTTCTCTTTGTATGATTGCTTTGTTTGGACCACGTTTTATTTTCAGCTGTTATTTGTTGTAAGTTGGTTTAGGGTGCTTTTCATATAGAGTTCCACATTTCGTGAACGATGTACAGATTTTTATTGAAGTGTGTTTTGGCAAGCAGCCCACAGTTGTGTTTTGGTTGGAACAGAAACTGTTGGGTGTGATACGTTCTAATACGGAGGGTTACCTTTAGGTAACCTCACATTCACTGAGTGGCCACCACGCGGTTGATACCTCAGCAGAACAAGCCGGTTTTTAATCTTAAATCCTGCAATTTAAGTACATACCTGCTTCACTGTGGTAGCAGTGATTGTTGCTGTGACGTTCGCTATTCTGGCTTGTGGATTGACTAGGGATCCATATTTAGTCCACTTCACTTCTATTTCAAGCGATACTGGTATTTGGCAGGAGCTCTGAAAAGTGTGATAAATTCTCTCACTGTCTGACTCGTACAAGAGCGGCGGCTTTAATTATTCATTTTATTAAACTGGCAGAATGCTCCCCGAAAGCTTGCTCCAGGAGGTTACCGGAGCAAACGTGCCATGCCTGTGCCCCGGCCCGCTGCCTCGGCTCAGGCTGTCCCTGTGGTTTCTCTGTCGGTGACGAGCCGACTCCATAACCACACCTCAGGCAGGACCATTCTACCTGAGCAGGGCAGGGCTTTGGCTCCCAGTGAGAGTGCTGAGCTGGCTCTTTCAAGTAGAAAGATTTATTTCAGCAATAGCACCAGGACAGCAGAAAACCTTTAACTTGTCCAGGGCAGAACTTTGAAGCCTACAATCTTAAATATTTTGAGGTATTGCTCCTCAAATGGTCAAGTTTCTGATTAGAGAAGCCATTCACGGAAAGCTGTATACAAGGTGTCATCAAGGGATGCTGTCGTTGAGCACGTGCCTACTGCCAACAGCAGGGACTGTGCTGCATCAGGAGGAAAGGGCCAGTACAGAAAATGTTAAAAATAAATGTAGCATTTGGGTCACTCAAGTACACTGTTTCTGTGCTTTAAAGGATCCTTGCTATTTTAATCTAACCTGGCAGAAGGGCAGCAAGGAGAAACACCGGGTGTTTTACTTCACCCTTTCAGCCTGACCTCTTGTCCTTCATCCCATCTGAAGAGCAAGACTCTAAACTGTGGCCAGAACCTGGTTTGCACCTAACATCGTCCTGTCCAAGGTGCCTGGGTAACAGCTTGATTAAAAGTAAACTCTGTCTTCTACAACAGGAATTGAACTCCTCATTTGTGACTATTCCAGGAAAACTGCATTTTTATTTTTTTTTCCCCATAGGTCTGAGAAACCTAAGCTGATGCTGCAGGACAGGCACAGATCTGGGGAGAGCGGGGGGGTGGCAGTGGTGTAACTTTCACCTGTTCAGAGACGTAGAGGTAAGTTATTGGCACCCAGTCGAGCACATCCTGGGCTTGGGAATTTCCGAACGAGGCCACATACTCGGGAAAGCTTTGTCCCTTCAGTAAATCTAGGAGGGTCTGAGTCAAGGGCTGGCATTTCATAGCCTCTGTAATTCTTCAAGGAAAAAAAAAAAAGAAGCAAAATCCATCAGTTTGACACAGTAATAATTTCTCCTTGCTCTCACGCACTGTTTGAGCCTTCTGGCTACAGTTACTAATGTACACAATCTTTTCAAGAGAAAGACCATTGTTAACTAAATGACATTTTTTATAATTAATACTCCATTCCCAATACTCCCACTGCTGTATAAACGTCCCAGGACCGGAACAGCTCCTAATGGAAAGGGCTGTCAGAAGGTTAAAAGCACTAAATACTTTTTTTTTTTAAAAAAGGGAAAAAGAAAAAAAAAAAAGCCGTCTTACCGTAACTTACAGCCCGATATCATGTTATAACCAAATAATACTGGAGTTCTGGCTCCCTGTGCTGCCAGGCAGTCCTGGTCAGATGTGCTTTGCAGAATGGTAAGTGGACTGTATTTGTTGGCCTTCTCAATGATGCCAGATGTAACACACGGTTAAAGGGAAATTCAATACTTGATGTATATCACAAAGAAAGGATCCTGGACCATAGCCTTAAAAGACACTTGAAAATGTTATACTAGCTCAAGACTCCTATGGAAAAGCACTGAAGTGTGCAATGAAGGGCTAAATCTACCTCACTGAGAAGTCCCAGGAGATTGCAGTCAGGACTGAGTCATTTGCTACTTCTAAACCACAGCCAAAAAACCCCACTTTCACTTTGGTTAAAGAACAGCTACATTTTATAGATGTCCCTGCTAAAAAGCCTGAAGATGGACCAGAACAAGCACTACAAGCAACATTCCACCAGGGAAAGGATATCCTTGTAGCCGGAAGCCCGCTCTTACAGGCAGTCCAACAACATAGCCGGGATTACCACTGCGAGGAACTGGCTTTGTATCTACCTGCAACGCAAACATACAGTATTAGTTCTTATCCTGTACTGAAATGGCTGGAAAACTTATTTTAGGATTCACTTATTTTAGGATTAACTGTCTTGAACAACGATAGTAGTGAGGCTGCTTTGTGTAACAGTTCTCTAACAGTCGAGCAGGATTTGCCTTCACTGGATACTGCTGTAGAATCACGAGATGATTCTCTTAAATCTGAAAAAACAGACTTTGGAGACCTTTATTGCCCAGTTCTGAAATGGTGCCTTAGTCATGTGTCCAGGGCGAGTTACATTTTACCTTGCTGCTAACAATTGTTCTGATTCAAGTTTAATAAGTTTTGTAATTAAATGTCTTTCAACAAGCCATCCGTAACATCTCTGGCAGTTACCTGAGTAAAGCTGATTTCGAAGCTCTGCTGTATTGAAAGTGCTGCTTTGTTAATTGCCCCCAAGACAAAAGAAGCAGCTGCTTCTATTATTTCTCCTGTGTCTGTGTATGTAATGTGATAGCTCACCTGAAAATTAAACATTTTAGATATTAATTAGAACCAATACATAAGAGTATGAAACCAGAAACGAGGAATTTAAAACTAGGTAAGTGTTGTTTTCTTTCTCCCTTGCTTAAGAAACACTCAGCTACGTGGCAAGTGAAATAACATACCCTCTGGAGGCTGGAGCCTCTTCAAAACTGACTTCTTGATAAACCTCTTCTAAGCCTAAACCAAATGTTCATCTATTTAAGACAAAAACAGGAGATTTGCATGCTGTATTTCTCTGTCTCTGCCCCCACAGTGC